ATTTTCAAAAATTTGAGTGAGGAAATAAAGAAGACTGTGTCCTGGATATGATAGGTGTCTGCAGAGCTGAATGCACTATCTGAGTTCTGGTCGTGCCTCCAACCCCCTTGCCTCAGTACTGGGGATCAAACTCAGGGCCTCATCTGCCACTTAGCTATATTCCAAGCCTCAAAAATACTTTCTGACCCTTTATGGAAGAAGCTTGCTGACCACTAGTCTAGAAATACACCTGATCTGCCTGGGATGGCTGCTCGCTGGAGATGTAAAACTGTCTGCTTCCCTAACAGTTTACCAGGCCCTCCCCAGGCAGACAGCAATTCCCTCTGTGGAAAAAATATCCTTAGGCCTGGTTTCAGAAGAGTTTTGAGTGGCATGCAAATCTTCCCTGGGCTCTTTGGCACTTGACAGTATCTCCCACAGATAACCAGATACAAATGAGCCGTTCCTTTCCATAAAAACCCCTCCTCAGAGCCCAAAGGATCCCACAGCTGGTCCCGTTAGACGTCATTGAGAGGAAGGCTCTTAGCATATTTGAAGAATGTTAATTGCTAAGTGTGGGCTGAAGCCAGAGGGCTTCATAATGTCCTTAAGCTGCTTTAAATGTACATAGACTGAGAATTTTAGAATCAGAAAAGGTCTGGGGGATCATCAAGTTTAGCCCTTTAAGAGCAGGGGCTGCGAGCCAGACTGCGTGGCTCTTCCCCTTAATCCTCCTGTGTCTTGGTTTCCTCACCTTTAAAGTGGGGCTAAGAATAGCACCTAGCCACTGGGCTTGCAACAAATGGGAACATTTCCCATAGCAACATGTGAACGGCAATGCTGACTATGAAACAGGACTCTCCGCACATGCATGTGTTCACAAGCATTCATGTTTCATTAGTGTTTTTAGTAGTTGTCTCATTTTATAGTTACAGACACTGAAGACTAGAGGAGGTAAATTATTTCCCTTTCCTTGCCTGACAGGCAGAGTGGGCTAAAGCCTGGCTGCAGCTTTTCATTTCAGTGATCTTTCCTTGTTGCCATGTGTTGCTTGTAGATGTGTGTTTAGCAGGTGTGGATCTAAATTTTATTTCTCTGTGTGTTCATGCACATGTGGGGAATATGTACTTGTGTGTGCATGCATGTGGAGGCCAGAGACTGATGCCAGCATCTTCCTTAGTCATTTTCTGCCTTATATTTTGAGTCAGGGTCTCTCATGAAAGCTGGTGCTTGCAGATTCAGGTAGGCGCCTGACCAGCAAGCCCCACGGATGCTCCTGTTGCCATCCCGTTAGTGCTGGTGTTAACAGACCCATGTGGCTGCATTGCGCTTTTATGTCCGTGCTAGGATCTGAACTCGGCCTCACAGTTATTTGGCAAGTGCTTTACTGATTGAATCCTCTTCCTGGCCATCATTATTATTATTATTATTATTATTATTATTATTATTATTATTATTATTATTATTTCACCCAGGATCTCACTCAAGCTGGCCTTAAGCTTATAGTTCTGTCTCAGCCTCCTAAGTAGTGGGATTACAGGCATGTGTCACCATAACTGGCTTAGATGTTAAAAAAATATTTATTTTTACTTTGTATGTATGAATATTTTGTAAGCATATATTAATGTATAATATATGTGTATATGCTGGATCCCCCATAACTGGGGTTATAGCCAGCCATGTGGGTCCTAGGAATGAAACCCAGGTCTTAATCAAGAGCAAATTCTCTGCACTGCTCAGCTACCTCTCCAGCCCTTGGGTGATTTTTACAGCCAAAAAAAAAAAAAAAAAAATATTTGGAAGCTTTTTGGACAATACAATTGTCTCCTTTTTGTCCTGTTTCTTCTCACCTGCCTTTATGATATGTACATTATTTCATAAAATTGAAGTTCTGTTCATGTAAACGTTGCTTCTGTCAAGTTGGAAAGCATTTTGTCATCCTAAAGAAAACGTAGAGGGCAGGGAAGATGGTCCAGTGGTTAGGAATGCTTCCTGTTCTTACAGAGGATGTGAGTTCTGTTCCCAGCACCCACATCAAGTGGCTCACAATTGTTTGTAACTCCAGCACCAGGGGTTCTGATGCCCTCTTCTGGCCTCTGCAAGTACCTGCAAATAACCACATATAGACACAGACACATCAGTAAAAGTTAATCACAAAGAAAACTTCGTACTCCATTGTGCCTCTCTCAACCCTCCCCCCGTTGTGGCTCTCAGCCTGCTTTTGGTCTTTACAGATTCACATGTTCTATGTGTTCCATGTAAGTGGGATCACACAGTGCGTGATCTTTGGGGTTTAGCATCTTTCACTTTGTTTATTTGTATTCACATATACTGCACATTATCTACATTATTAGATAAACCGGTACTTCATTTTTCTGAGGATGTACCACACTTTCTTCATCATTAGCTGGATGGACATTTGGGTTGTTCTGTCTTTTGACTGCTGGTGCTATCTTAACATTTGAGGGCAAAATCCTTGTTTGAGTGAGTGCCCATGTTTAGTTCTCTTAGGTCAGAACCTGGGAGTAAAGGTGTTGCTATTCTCTAATCCCAGGTTTCACTTTTTGAGGCACTGCAGGATTTTCCTTTTTGATGGCAACAACATTGATCTGTAAGGGTTTTGATTGTTCTGCTCTTGCCAGCCTAAGCTGTTGATTATTATTCTGTTACGTTATAGCCATCCTAGTGTGGATGAAGTGACATTTCACTGTAGCTTTCTTTGTGTTTCTCCGCTGCCATGTGAGTCTGTGTTTGCTCACGTGCCTGCTGGCCTTTGGCATGCTTTCTCTGTAGAAAGCCATTCTCCTGTTCTTTGCCCACTTTAACATCCAGCTGTTTCTTTTAGTTGTTAAATTGTAACATTGTAACGGATTTTGAATACTAAACCTTTTATTAGATATATATGACATCTTTTCTATTGTTATCTGTGTTGTTTTTCTTATGTTAATGTAATATATTAAGTGTTAAATTTTAGTAAAGTCCAATTAATTGTTTCTTTTGTTGGCCATTCTTTGGCTGTTATAGCTAAGAATCTATTAGTGTTAAGCTAATTTTATTTTTGGCTGTTAGGGCTGAGTACAACTTCATACTTGCATTTGGCTGTCTGTTGTTTCAGCACCATTACTGGAGAGCTTGGAATCCTTGACTAGTACTGGCTCCTTGCCATCACTATGCTATGAGAGTTGATCACAGATTCGTGGGTTTAATCTCTATACTCACATTCCCGTTTCTTTCCTTTCTTTGGCCGTCCTTTTGCTTGTACCATCTTGTTCTGATTGCTGTTGCTTTTCAGTACGTTTTGGAATCATAAAATCCTAAGTCGTCTTTGTTCTCCTTTCAGTGTTTCTCTTGTTATTTGTCAGCCTCTTCTGAGTCCATGTGAATGGAAGGTTTTTCCCATTTCTGTAGGAAAGGCAGATGGGATTTTGATAAAGAGATGTTGAATCTGTGAATGGACTCAGGTATTGTTGCTGCCTTGACAGGGTCCAGAACATTTTTCCATTTTATTTTGGTTCAATTTGGATATACTTTGAATTTCCTGTCTAATTGCTCTGGCTAGAACTTAGCTTGGATCATGTGCTAGATTTTTTTTTTTTTTTTCTTTCCCTCTTTCAAGGGTAAGTGTATGAATAGCCTGCATTTTGTTTGTCTTTTCCTCTGTCTGTGGACTGTTGGGTTGTTTCCATCCATTGGCAGTTGTGAATAAGGCCACTATCCCCACAGATTCACAAATCTTAGATTTAAATCCTTGCTTTCTTTTGGGGGCATACCCAGAAACAGTTAGTAGAGTGCATGGAATAATCATCTTAATGTACTGCTAGATTAGTTTTGCTAATATTTTGTAGAAGATTTCAGTGTGTATATTTATAAAGTATAATAGTATGTGACTTTCTTATGCTTTGTTTGGCTTTGATGTAAGAGTTGTAGTGCTCTCACACAATGGCTTAAGAAGTCCTTCTCTCCTTCTCACCCTTACCCTCCCCTCTCCTTTCTCCCCTTAAGACTTTGATAGTTCATGTATTCCTAGAAATTTTTACTTTTTCCAGAAACTTCCACATGTAATTCCATAGTGGCTATACTAACTTACATCCCTCCTTTTTCCTCACATCTTGCCAGTATTCATTGTTAATTTAAAAACCTGTGGTGTGATTATAGCAGTTACATAGAGTTTGCTGCATGTCTCTCACTTTTTCCTATAACATTTATGAGGTGTGTACTACTGTCATTTCTGTGTTACACACAGAGAAAGCAATTGACTGAGGTTTAGGTGACAGTCACAGAGCTGGTGTATTAAGGCCTTGAAATTGAATCCTGATAGTCTGAGTCAGGGTCACAGGAAGCTCAAGCTCACCTTAGACTATATAGCTAAGGATGACATTGAACTTCTGATCCTCTTGCCTCTACCTCCCAAGTGATAGTTGCATGTATACCACCACATCTCGTTTATGAGTGCTTCTGATGTAACTCAGGGCTTTGCACATTGCTGGGCAGCAACAGCTAGAGCCTCTGCCATCTGTCTTTCTATTTCCTACAGTTTATACTGCCTTTCTTAAGTATCAGAGATGGCTGGCTTTGTTTCTATGTTACTGTGTTATGTTCTTGTTAGAAACCATGGTGCTGGCATGGGTGGGAACACTTGTTTCTTATCTTCCTTAGTAGGACTTGGGCTTCCAGAGAAAGCATGGTATGGGGGCTCAGCCTAGTGGAAAGACTAGCACACCCTTCTCAGTCATGTAATACACTTTGAGACTCCTGAACTGTCCCTGGGAAATTGATTGTAATCCTCAACTGGAACTGTTTCTTTTATCAAGAACTGTGAGAAAGAATTGATTTTAAATGCACTTGTCTGAAAGATTTGACAGCGGCTCCATGGAGATTACACTTAACTTTGGGAAGTCTTTGAGGTTTTAAGTGGACCCTGGTCTTTCATAAGGTCATAGCCATAGAAAGGCAAATGCACAGATTTTGCTTTTTTTTTTTTGTTTGTTTGTTTGTTTACTTTCTTCACCATTGTCTTTCAGGGTCATTCAAACACACAGAAGAACATCCTTCAGGTGGATCAGAACTGTGTTCGCAATTCTTACGATGTCTTCTCTTTGCTGCGGTAAGAAACTTCTTAGAGCTTCCTGGATTTGGATGGCTCTCTCGTGTATGTTTGTGGTGCTGCGATGTGAGGAAATGTCGGAGCTTGAGAAGCCATTACTCAGGCCTGGCATTTTTTAGTGAAAGCTCCCTAAATTCTGTAGCTCCAGTGATTTTAGTTTATCTCTTTGATGAAGTCTTTGAAAAGCCATTTCCTCTCATTGGGGGAAAGAGTGGTTGGAAGCTGGAGATCTTTTCTTTTTTTTTTTTTTAGATTTACTTTATTATCTATGCAGTGTTGTATCTGTATGTATCCCTGGATTGCAAGCTAGAAAGGGGGACTAGAAGGCATTACAGATGGTTGTGAGCCACCATGTGGTTGCTGGGAATTGAACTCATGACCTCTGGAAGGGCAGCCAGTGCTCTTAACCTCTGAGCCATCTCTCCAGCCTGGAAGCTGGAAACCAAGGTACTGGCTGGTCTGTCCTATAGGTTGCAGAGTGAGGACATATTGGGGACTTCCCAACTATACCTTCCACAGGAGAGCCCACCAACAGCCCTGGACGTGGCTTAAAAGGATCCTGTCTGACAGGTCCTGAGAGCTTTGGAGATATCTAAGGCTCAGAGTCTTAAGTGCCTCAGCCCTCTGTATGTGTATATGTCTGTGTATAAAACGTTTGGGATTAACTTTGAAAGATTTTTAAAAAAATAGCTTTACATGTGGTAGATCATGAGGAACATTTCCCAGGGGGCATTTCCCCATCCAGTTAGCAGCGACACTCAGCCCTTGTTCACTCAACTCAGACTGCTAGTTGAAATTCGATTTGGGTAGTGTTTTTCTAGTGTTTACCTAACACATCATAAATTTTAGATCATTACATATCCTCTATAGGTTGTTGAAGAGCCCAGAGGACTCTCAAAGAATGGTTATCTTATAAACATTATCCAAGGGGCCTTCCCTCTGGGAGCCTTGAGTCTTCTATTCAATGACATAGCGTTTAGTTACATGACTTGTGAAAATTATTCCCAAGGGACAGTGATTCTAAAGCAGTCACATATGCATGATGACTGTTGACTTGTGTCTGAGAGGTGTCTTTCAATTCCACTAGGCTATGTAACAAAACAGATAGGATTTACTAACTGAACAGACATCCTTTTGAGTCTGTTGAATTTGGGACACAGGAAGTGTTAATAGAGTGTACAGAATTAGTTGAAATGTAAATAAGCTGCTAAAATTTCCTGACCTGCTTTTCTTAGTGAAGTGATAGAAAGAGCATTTTCAAAGAAGATATGCTCTATGTATGAGATTATGTGATCTTATTAGAGAAACCAATAGAATTAAAAGAAAAAAAAATCCCAAATCAGAGAAAAGAGAGGCATTTGGGACAGTGCAACAGGAAAGGAGGGTTCATTAAAGGGTGCTGAAAGCTCTAAGGTATTGCAGAGAATAGGAGGTAAAGAGATATGATGCCATAGGAAATGCCATAGTGAGGCCACAGGTATAGCTCAGTGGAAAAGCACCCACTTGCCATGTGTGAGGTCCAGAGTTCAATCCCCAGTACTTCTAAAGTCCCTGTTTACTCCAGTTCACTTAACTTCCTTGGTTCTTGTGATGGAAGAAGTGGTGTTACTAAGTATAGAACTTGTGTAATTTGTAAGTGTTTCCTATCACTGTTGTGGTAACTCATTTCTGCGTAACAACACAGACTCACTTTTATGTTGAGTGTATGTGGGGTGTGGTGGTGTCTGCCACATTTTATGTGTGTGCATGCATGCGCACAGGACGGGTGTGCATATACAGAGGCCAGAGGAAGGCAGTGATGTTTTACTTCATCACTTTCCTCTTTACTTGCTTGAGACAGGGTCCCTCACTGAACTGTAACCTGCATCTCTGCCAGGCTGATTGGTCAGTGAGCTCCTGGGGTCTTCCCGTGTCCATCTCCAACACTGTGGTTGGTTACAGTCCTGTTAGCCGCTCCCAGACTTCACCTGGCCCCTCATGTACCCACCAAGCCCTCTCTGCAGGCCCAAGACAGTTTTCTGAGCCTGATTACATGCCACCTGAATAAATCACCCTGCTCCCAGGAACTCTTAAGTTGTCCTTGTCAAAGTTAGTGAACGTTGTGCTGTTTCTTCCAGACAGCCGCAGGCGGCCTTTGTCTGCTTTATTGAAAGCATTGCTCCCCCCATGGCTTTTTGCTGTGATAGATTGGAATGATTGTTGGGAAGCTTGTGTCTCTCTCCCACTGCATTTCTTTGTTCTCTTTTCTACTCAGTTAATATTGTCCCTGAATGGGGATATTTTTAAAAATATTTTTTCTTTCCCTGGTTCTTCTTAATATATAACATGTTTGCTACTTGGTCTATAATTAGAAAACATAGCCACACCTGGGCATGGTGGTCCGAGCCTGTAATCTTGACTGACACTTAGGCGGTGCAGGCAGGTGGGTCACGAGTTTATAATCCTCTTTGGGTACATGTTGAATTCAAGGCCAGCCTGGGCTACATGAGACTCTGTCTCCAGCAACAGCAACAGCCACAGTGTCTGTGTTCATTACTAGCTCTTTACTCCAGAGTGAGAACCTTAGTCCCCTACAGGTGTTATTTTATTTAGGAGTATTTTCCAATTCATAACTTGTACAGGCTAGGAGCTATAGGTGGTACTCATCTGCCCCAACACTGAGATAAGGTGGTTTCAAGGTTGAGGCCAACCTGGGCTACACAGTAAGTTTCAGGCCAGCCTGAACTATGCAGTGAGAGCTTGTCTCAAAATTAAAAAAAAAAAAAAAATACACCTTTCACTGTATTGTTGTGCTCCTAGGATGCACAGTTTCTTTGTACTTTTTGCTTGTGAGTGTCATGGAAAACTAGGGAATCTTTGAGTTAGGACTTTGGACCATGTAGATGGGGGCGTGCATCGAAGCTACATACTCGTGATGGGAGTTTTGTAGGGAAACAGCTAGCAGTGCTTTGGCTCACACTGGAAACCTAGGCTAATTGACACCCACAGGAGAAGCTGCAGCTTCCAGAGTCCTTCAGTGTTAAAAATTTGTTTTCCAGTGAACAGACAATTAGGAGCCATTTCGCTCCTGTGTTTCATACTTTGGGATGTCCACCACAAGGTGTCAATGTTGCTCTTTAACTGACATTTGCAATGTCAGGAGGGCTTCAGTGTTGTGGAAATCGGTGTTATGAGATGCTATTGAATAAGCAGTTGTCTAAGTCTAGTCTTCCTGGTTTTAGGGGCACAAGCTAATTAGACAGTGGGGTGGGAGGCTCTGTGTTTGTTGCTATTGTTGCCTTTAATTTAATTTAATTAGTTTATTTTTTGGTGGTAGTGGTTTACTGGATGGCTGTAAGAGAGGAGAGAGGAATATGGTTATGAGAGAAGAGGGGGGTATGGTGAGGTGTGCAGTCTAGGATTCTAACCCTGCTGCCATCATGGGATAGACTTGGGGTGAGACTGCTGTCAAGGGTCACTTCTAGCCCTGCTGCCCTCTGAGATTGTTTGCGGTGTCATCCTCACCCCACCCTTTCACCTTTCTAAAGAGCGGGCTGTGTTATAGATGCCTTGCCTTTTCCAGGTTAATATGTCCAGAACAGTGGTGATGCCTGGTCCTGCCTGGTCCCTGGTACAAGTGCCGCATCTGGTAGACTGGTGCAGGGCTTTTGTTGCTTCAGTCTGGTCCTGTAAAGGGGGATGGTATTTGTCTCATACGATTAGGGTTATTGGGAGAGTGAATTAGGCGAGGTCAGTGAAGTCCCTGAGAAAGTCCGGGGCACCTGGTGGGTGACAGCCTTTCCCACTCTGCTGTCTGCTCCTCTTCCATGCCAGAGTTCTCAGCCTGAGCCGCTGGCTTTTCAACTTAGCATCGTTTCCCCCTTTGCCTTCATGCCATTCCCATGTTCACTTCTGCTTTCAAAGTGAGCTGTGTCCATCCTGGCCACTCATCACCTCTGCTCACCGACGGCACTAAAGGCTGCTGGATGAGGGAGTCTTCACCTGACCACGCTGCCCGCTCTTGTCTGAGGATCCTGTAGCAGGGGCTCTGCAGGATTGTTTTCCTGTCAGCTCTGTTCTGCTGTCACAGCTTCAGCCAGCCTGTCCAAATGCCTCCAGTTAGATTCCAGCTCTCTGCCTTTCTCTTGGATCCACAATCTACCCCTGCCCAGGGCCTGTTGGGTATTTGCAGACCTTGAAGACCTCAACTCCAACATGGCTGGGTTCCCTCGTCTGCTTTACCCTCTGCCTCTTTCCTTTCCCGTCTCTGGGGTTTGCACCACCCCAGTCGCTCAGGCTCTAGAAATCATAGTTATTCTCGTTTCCCCATTCTCCTTCCTTCACCGGTGTTTAGGTGGCTCTTGAGTCCTCTCAAGCCTTTGCGCATGTGTCACCCTTCCCTGTCCCGCTGTCTTCCTGGGCTGTTTCTTCTTCTCCTAATAGTCCTTTTACTCCAGTTTCCTCACATGGCATCGGTAGCTGTGCTTTATTGACCATTTTACAATAATACAACTAGGGTGGTTGGAGAATAGCTCAGTGGTTAGGAGCACTTATTGCTCTTGCAAAGGACCCAGGTTTTGTTTTCAGTACCCACATGATGTACAGCACCCATCTGTAACTCAGTTCTAGGCAATCCACTACCACTTTTGACCTTCATGGGCTCCTACACACATGGTGCGCATATATATATGCTCAGGCACCCTTTAACCCCAGCACTCCTGATTCTGCTCTTTGTAAGATGTATTTATTTTATGCCTGTGTGCCTGAGCGTATATATGTGCACTGCTTTGCCTGGCCCAGCGTTGACAATGACCCAACTCTTCTTCCATACAATGTCCCTTATGTGGTAAACCTATTCTTTCCCCTTTTTGTAGGTGAGGAAGTTGAAACACAAAGCAGTTAGTAGCTTTACCCATGGTCACACAGCTGCTTAGTGTGAGAGCCTGTCTTCAAGCTCAGGTGTCCATGCCCAGACCCCGTCTCTGCAGTCGGTATGCCTTTCCCCTTTGCAGTGCCCTGTG